TCCCTCTCACCTTCGGGCTTGAATAAACCTCTTCACCAGGGCCATCTTGGTCTGTAGGTGTGCCAGCTTGTTCTCTTGCTCCGCTGGGCTCCGCGTCTTTGCCTTGGACATGCACTTGTAGGCCTCGGTCAGGGCTCCCAAGGCCTTCTCGTAGTTCTGGAACTCTTCCACCTCCACCTGGAAAGGAAGGAAAGCTGAGCGGGCTCTCGGGTGCTCTTTCCATCGGGCAACTGAAACGGAGTCTCCGAGGCAGGATCCCACCCACCTGCGCACAGGAGTCATAAAAGCCAGCCAAGAGGTCCAGAGCCCTTCCTTTGGTGTAGAAGCTGATGATGTTCTTCATGATCTCTGGATCTTTGCGACAGTCCAGGGTTTGCAGGTAATTGGCCGCCATGATATAAATCTCCCTTTGTCTCGAGACGCCAGCAAAGAACACAATCTTTTCCGTGTCGCCAGATTTCAGCAGAGCCCTCATGGCCTACACAACCAAAGGGTAGAGTTGCGTCAAATCAGATCTTCATTACGGTCGCAGACCAGCATAAGGAGGGGGGTAGAATTGAGGTTGCTTGCTCATTAGTAAATGCAAGCAAGCAGGTAGGGTGCCAAGACCTCAAGAGCTACCGGGTTTTTCAGTTATGCTTATAAGGCACTCTATCTTTCAACCTCCATAAAGCGGTATGTTTAAAACAAGGTTTGTTAAAGAGCACAAACAAGCTATGGTTCTTGACATCATTCCAAAAGTCAAAACCAAACACCATCTAGCTTGAGTATGAACAATTCATCAGTTGAACGACTTGCCTCCAGAAATGGGTGTTCCAATACTGGAGGTTTTTAAGAAGAGACTGGACAATCATTTGTCTGAAATAGCATAGGGCTTCCTGCTTGAGCAAGGGGTTGGACTAGAAGACCTCCAAGGTCCCTTCCAACTTTTCTGTTATTCTGATAACTACTTCTATCCAATAAAGATCCCAAGCATGGGCTTCTTTAGGTCATGTTCTGAGATGACAGTGAACTGGGTCCAATCACTTGACTACCCCTGTATCAATATCCTGCAAGGTGACAAGTTCAGCCTTCTGAACTGGAACGTGCTGAGCAATCTGCAAACAGCTCTTGTAGACCGGGGGGGTCCCCAACCCCCGGTCCGTGGACCAGTACCAGGTCGAGGAGCAACCTGTCACCTGCTGGGCTGCATTTCATTAAACGGCCCAACGCCCTTCTCCCATCCTTACCTTCAGCTTGTTTCCTGCTTGGGTGTATTTCTTGGTGGCCATGTGGTAATTGCCCTGCCTCATACAGCAGTCAGCGATCTGCTCCAGGAGCTCCCGCCGGGAATCCTCGGAAAGGTGTTTGGAGTCCTTGGAGATGGTCATCTTCTCCGCCATCTCTTCAGTGATGGTCAAGTTCTGCGTCAGGCAAAGCTGCAGGGCGTCCTGGTACTGGGACACGGACAGAAGGGAGACAAGAGCCAACTCAGCTAAACACCCGGTCGGAGGCGGGAATCAAGTCAGCTGATGTAGGAGATGACCAGGCTGAGCCCGAAGGAGGGGTCAAAGGCATCAGAAGTCACGAGTCCCTGCGTGTCCACAAGAGATCTAAGTCCAGCCCACCTTGAATGCCGTTCTTATCTCCCACTCGTTTCCCTTGACCGCTAGTTGGTCAGATTCTTGTAGAGAAGCTTGCAATAAATCTTTATACTCATTTGAACTGCCTGAATCTCCTGACTTCCCGGGCTCTTGACACCCAGCCTGGTGAGACCTCCAGCAAGAGGAGAACACCTTAGTATGTGCGCCAACTTCAGGGGCCGGCTTGTTTGGTGCAGGCCACCCCTGAGAAGTCACGGTGATTTCTAGCACCGCCTTGGAGGTCGAGACATGACTGAAGGAACCCAAATCTCTACTAAGTGCAAGATTTGGGGCATTAAGTGATAAAACTGGCATAAGAAAGGCACCAGAGGAATGAAAGAAACAAGGAGGGGAAGGAAAGCAAAAAAAAAAAAACAAAACCCCAAACCATTCTTGGTTGACTTTAGACTTTAAATATCAAAAATATGTTTCTATCTCTGAGGAAGAATGAATGAGGTTGGAAGAGAAATGTTCTATCATCTATCTATCTATCTATCTATCTATCTATCTATCTATCTATCTATCTATCTATCTATCTATCTATCTATCTATCTATCTATCTATCTATCTATCTATCTATCTATCATCTAATCTATGTACCTACCTACCTACCTACCTACCGATTTACCATGTCTGTCTGTCTGTCTGTCTGTCTGTCTATCTATCTATCTATCTATCTATCTATCTATCTATCTATCTATCTATCTATCTATCTATCTATCTATCTATCTATCATCTATCTATCTATCTATCTATCTATCTATCTATCTATCTATCTATCTATCTATCTATCTATCTATCTATCTATCTATCATCTGCCTGCCTGCCTGCCTACCTACCTCTATCTATCTGTCTGTCTGTCTGTCTGTTTTTATTAAAGAGCCTTGATTGTTCTGTGCAAACCATTCGAAAAGATAAGCCATGGCACAGGTTTTCGATTCGCGGCACAGACCGTCACGCCTTCTTTCCGGAAATGCGACCTTTACCTTTTTGGCCGCTAGCAAAAGCTTGACGGCCTTCTCGTACTGAGCATGCTCGATGAAGAAGTCGGAGCAGCGAGCCAGCAGGGCCGGGTCGGACTTCTCATCCAGGTCTTCTGCCACCAGCTGCAAGGCTGCAAACTGCTGGGTGGCAAAGGCCAGCTCCAGAGCCTTGGACAAGTGTCCGGCCTGCGAAAGAAGAGAAGAAATGTTGAGTTTTTCGCAGCCTCTTCTGTCCCTTGGAGAAGGTCCCTTCGTGGTGATGCAGGACTTGTTCTAGTTTTTATCATCCAGCCATGGTTCTGGTCCCCATGATACGAAAAAAGAGGCCGAGGCTCTAGAAAGAGTGCAGAGAAGAGCAACAAAGATGATTAGGGGACTGGAGGCTAAAACACAAGGAACGGTTGCTGGAATTGGGTATGTCTAGTTTAATGAAGAGAAGGACCAGGGGGGACAGGATAGCAGTCTTCCAGTATCTCAGGGGCTGCCCCAAAGAAGAGGGAGTCAAGCTATTCTCCAAAGCCCCTGAAGGCAGGACAAGAAGCAACGGATGGAAACTAACCAAGGAGAGAAGCAACCTAGAACTAAGGAGAAACTTCTTAACAGAACAACTAACCAATGGAACAACCTCCCTCCAGAAGTTGTGGATGCTCCAACACTGGAAGTTTTTAAGGAGAGACTGGACAGCCATTTGTCTGAAATGACATAGGATTTCCTGCCTGAACGGGACTGGACTAGAAGACCCCCAAGGTCCCTTCCAACTCTGTTATATTGTGCACTCTGCATCCACCCTGGGGTGAAGGGATACCTTATGGTAGAGCGTCACCGCTTGGTCCATTTGTTCTCGTCCTTCATAGTAGCGGGCAGCTTCTATCATGTCTTCTGGGGAACTAAGAAGAGCCAGGTTCATCAACAGGTCATCCAGCTGGTTTTCCTGGTTTTTTGACAAACAAAAGTAAGCTTCACTTTCAGGTCTTTTGTGGTTAAAGGCAGCAGCGGTTTCCCCTTGCTCTTCCCAATGTCGAGTTTTCCCTTACAAAACTGCGACTCGGCTTACCATCTTACTTGAGTTTTCCTTTGCTTTACAAACCTGCAAAGGTCATCAGTGGGAGGAATGGCCGTAAAAGTCACTTTGTAATCCCTATCCCAACAGTTGCTAAACATGACCGTCGCTAAATGAGGACTGCCAGTAATTGGGGGGTGGGGAGATGTCAGATGATAAAAAAATCCCATCCCTTTTCTAGACACATCGCAACACCGGCAGAACACGGGGTGGGACTTTGTCCCTTTGACAAAAAGAACGAGACTTTTGCGGCCACCCCAGCCGTCATGGTGGGTCCTGCTGGGATCTTCTCGGGAATCTGCTCTGCTGGGCTCAGGAGGGTCTCCAGCCTCATCCTGGGGGTGGAAACCTCCCACATCTGGGCGCAGATTGCGAGTCCAGTTCTCCCAGCATAACTCGGAAAGGCTACGAGATTAAGCAGCTCGGGGATGATGGAAAGTGGCCTGTACCTTACACAAACGAATCGCGTTGTTAAATGCTTGAGCCCGGGTGTAGAAGTGCACTGCCTGTTTGATGTCCTCGTGGCTCTCATACTGACGGGCCACGTGATACGAAGCTGCCCAGTTGCCGGTCGCGTTGGCTATTTCAGCGGCCTGAACAACAACAAAAGAGAGAGAGAAAACCCAATACTTTCTCCACTTTGAACCACGCATCCCTGAAGGAGTATCTGTTCTCAGTCATCCAGGTCATGGTCATCCAGGCAACGGTGCTTTTTCAAGAAGCAACTGGACCTTCTTTGTTTTTCCTTGAAGGAGTTTCACCTCTCACCCAAGAAGCTTCTCCAGTTCTGAAGAAGCTTCTTGAAGGTGTTTCACCTCTCACCCAAGAAGCTTCTCCAGTTCTGAAGAAGCTTCTTAAAGGGGTTTCACCTCTCATCCAAGAAGCTTCTCCAGTTCTGAGGAAGCTCCTTGAAGGGGTTTCCCCTCTCATCCAAGAAGCTTCTCCAGTTCTGAAGAAGCTTCTTGAAGGAGTTTCCCCTCTCACCCAAGAAGCTTCTCCAGTTCTGAAGAAGCTTCTTAAAGGGGTTTCACCTCTCATCCAAGAAGCTTCTCCAGTTCTGAGGAAGCTTCTTGAAGGGGTTTCCCCTCTCATCCAAGAAGCTTCTCCAGTTCTGAAGAAGCTTCTTGAAGGTGTTTTCCCTCTCACCCAAGAAGCTTCTCCAGTTCTGAAGAAGCTTCTTAAAGGGGTTTCACCTCTCATCCAAGAGGCTTCTCCAGTTCTGAGGAAGCTTCTTGAAGGGGTTTCACCTCTCATCCAAGAAGCTTCTCCAGTTCTGAGGAAGCTTCTTGGATGAGAGGTGAAACACCTTCAAGCAGAAACAAAGACAGTCCAGTTGCCTCTTGAAAAAGCACTTTTGGGACCCTGAAGAAGGAGCTGGAGAAAGCAAACCGTACCTTCTGGATGTTACCCAGGAAGCAATGGATACGGACCATGGAAAAATAATCTTGAGCCAACTCATAATATTTGAAAGCCGCTTCTAGGTCTGCCTGGCCTTCTAGATACTGAGCCCACCATTTCCACAAACCCCTGCCGGAGGAAAAACAAGGGGTGGGAGGGAGGGTGGATAATCAATCAATCAATCAATCAATCAATCAGAATGCAGACAGATGACACCTTTGGAAAGTGTTGAGCTATTAATAGCCAATAGTTACAATAGCCATGCTTGTAAACCAGAGGTCCCCAACCTTTTGGGCACCAGGGACCGGTTCCACGGAGAGAGGCTTTTCCACGGACCGGAGGGTGTGTGTGGTGTTGTGTGCTGCCTGCATCCCACAGATGGGGCTTTGCTTGTTTGTGCGGACATGCCACGGCCCGATACCAGTCCACGGACTGGGGTTTGGGAACCCCTGGCTAAGGGGACACTCACTTATCTTTCATCCTGTTGACGTAAGCCTCCAAGGCTTGCAGATCCTCGGACAGCATACGAGGCACTTCAAACTTATGAGTGTCGGACTTCTCGTAGCTGCGCAGGAANTTTGTTTAGTTCCAGTCCAGGCTGAGTATTTACAAGGAGTGAAGAGTATTTATAGCGAATGAAGAGTATTTACAATTCCAGCTCCTTGGACCTGTGAGATCTCTCACAAGAAACGAAGGAGGGTCTCAAGACAGAAGAGGCGGAATCCAAGCCAAGAGATTGCTTAGGTCTGGCTGGCTTAGAATGGATGTTAAACGTTGCTGACAATGACTTGGAACACCCGGGTTCAAATTGCCACGTGGGTGGTGAAAGTCCCGGGAGGGCAACCTTGAGCCCGGTCCTCGGCTCAAATCGCCTTCATCACATGCAGGAAGTCCTCGTCTTACAACCATCCGTTTAGCGGCCGTTCAAAGTTACAACGGCCCTGAAGACCGTTTTTCATTGCAGCATCCCCGCGGTCCCGTGATCAAAATTCAGGCGCTTGGCAATCGACTCCTATTTACGACGGTCGCAGTGTCCCGGGGTTGTGTGATTTCCCCCTTTTGAGACCTTCTGACAAACAGAGTCAATGGGGAAAGGCAGATTCCCTTAACAACCGTGTTACTAACTTAACAACTGCAGCGATTCACTTAACAACAGTGGCAACAACCGTCTTTTCTGACTGGTGGACTTCAACTCCCAGAATTCCTGAGCCAGCATGGGGAAAACTTTGGCCCCTTCATGACTGGTGGACTTCAACTCCCAGAATTCCTGAGCCACCATGGCTCAGCTTGGAAACCTCTCCCTTTTCCCTCAGCGTGGCTGGCTCGGGAATTCTGGGAGTTGAAGTCCACGAGTCATCAAAGAGCCAAGGTTGCCCACCCCTGCCTTATATAGTACATGTATGAAAATAAGAATGTTTAGGGAGACAGAACTGGGAACATGACAGTGGCGTGCATTTTATCCGGAGTCCTTAGTGGCAAGGCAGCATACAAACCCTTGAATAGACACACAAACAATAAATTAACAGAAAAATCAGCTGTAACCAGATTCCGAAAACTCCAGAATGGGTCTGACTGAGTCCCGAGTCAGAGGTGGACAAGCTCTGGCATATGGCAGCCTGCAAACACTTACTAGGTGATGGCAAAGTTGCGCTCGGCTATGGCTTCCAGGTGCTTGGCATAATTGTAGTAGGTCGTGCGCAGGTGCACGCGGTCCTGAGCCTCGGCTACCTCGATGGCTTTCTGCCATTGGTCTGAAGCCTGGTAGAACTTGTTCAGAAGATCGTGGCATTTGCACTGCTTGTATAACTGCTCGGCGTCCTCCTGGAATGGAGATCAGAAAGCTGGGAGTGAGGGATGCTGCTGTGAACGCAAGGATCATCGTTATCATCATCATTATCATTAGGAGCCGTGGTGGCGCAGTGGTTAGAATGCAGTACTGCAGGCTAACTCTGCCGACTGCCACCAGTTCGAGCATCACTGGCTCCAGGTTGACTCAGCCTTCCATCCTTCCGAGGTCGGTAAAATGAGAACCCAGATCGTTGGAGGCAACAAGCTGACACCGTAACCCGCTTAGAGAAGGCTGTAAAGCACTATGAAGCGGTATCTAAGTGCTATTGCGAAGGAAGGAAGGAAGGAAGGAAGGAAGGAAGGAATGAAGGAAGGAAAGGAAGGAAGGAAGGAAGGAAGGAAGGAAGGAAGGAAGGAAGGAAGGAAGGAAGGAAGGAAGGAAGGAAGGAAGGAGGCTGACTCTGCTCAATGCCAGGAGTTCGATCCTGACTGGCTCAAGGTTGACTCAGCCTTCCATCCTTCCGAGGTCGGTAAAATGAGGACCCAGATTGTTGGGGGACAACAGGCTGACTCTGTAACCCGCTTAGAGAAGGCTGTAAAGCACCGTGAAGCGGTACAGAAGTCAAAGTTCTATTACTATCATCCTTTATAGAATTCTTTCCCACGTAACGAAAACATTCTCTGAGATCCTACTTGAACGAAGAGGACTAAGACGTTCTTTGGTGCATTCTGAGCTCGGCTGTTTCCGTGCACACGTTTCTTTACCCAACTAGGCAACAACATCAGTGCTCGTGCTGATAATGTTGCCTAGTTTGGTAATGAAATGTCTGGAAGGAAAGAGCCCAGCTCAGAGAGCACCAAGTAACCCCTCACTTCAACTCTAAGCTACAAACATTCCACATGGGAAAAGGAAGAAGGGCCCTCGTTCAAAGGGTGCATTCGGACACTTGAGCAAGGGTTAATCACAGGAGGCATCGGAGGAACCGACGCCCAAAATAGAATCATTATGACCGAAACAGGATGTTTAAATAAAAGCAAGAAAAGTACTACGCCAGCCGACCTGCAGGTCACTTCGAGAACAAGGGGGCGTCCACACGGCCAGCTCCGGCTCTTCCTGATTCAGCTCTAGGAAACCAATCCATTGGAAGGAAAGCTCTGCTATCTCGGAAAACCATTTCCCAGCAGAAAGAAAACTGGGGCTGGGGAAACTGCAGACACCCTTGAACAGGCCTTGGATGTTTGACCCTGAAGGAAAGGCTTTGGATACCGGAGGCGGTAAAAGTGGGTGGGAATAATAATCAGGCTGAGATAAAAGCCACGGAGGGCAGAGCGCGTTTGACCTGAGGGTCAGCCCAAGCAAGGGAGATCTATTTATTTAAAATCAGCCGAGGTGACATTGGCAAAAGACTCAAAACGCGGGCCATCCTTGACCAACCACCCCAGTTGCGGCCAAAACGTCTGTCGCTAAGGGAAACAGTTGTTGTTTTTTAAAGTGAGCTTTCCCCCGTTTTACGGCTTTTCTTGTCACGGTGGTGAATTGAATCACTGCCGCTGTTTTAGTAACCCAGTCGTAAAGTGAACCCTGCCTTCCCCATTGACTTTGCTTGTCAGAAGCTCCCAAGGGGGGAAATCACGTGAGCCCTGCAACCGTCATAAGTATGAACCAGTTGTCAAGCATCTGGACGTAAGTCACATGACCAGGGGGATGCTAGCAACGGTCGTTAAGTGTGAAAAACGTCCAGAAGCCTCTTTTTCCAGTCCCGTCGTAACTTCGGATGGCCATTAAGCAAATGGATGTAAACTAGGGGTCTTCAAACTTGGCCCTTTGATGACTTGTGGACTTCAACTCCCAGAATTCCTCAGCCAGGCACACGTGCCTGGCTGAGGAATTCTGGGAGTTGAAGTCCACAAGTCATCAAAGGGCCAAGTTTGAAGACCCCTGATGTAAATCAAGGACTACCTGTAAAAGCCAACCCGCTTTTACAGTATTTTAATTGTGAAGCATCCATATTTTGATCAAGGGGGCCATGGAGATGCTGCAATGGTGGTAAGTGTGAAAAACAGTCATAAGTCTCTTTTTTTTCAGTGCTGTTGTTAACTCTGGTCACTCAATGAATTGTTGTTAAGTTGAGGACTACCTGCCTTGTGAGCTGCTCTGAGACACTTTGGATAGTGAGAGGGGCCGCACATAAAGTGAATCAATCCATAAAGTAAGTAAACTCTCAAGCTTCCTCCTTCCATTATATATTCAAGATGGACAGTATTTAATATTTATTTGCTACGTACATGGAGGGGTGTGGGTCTATACATATGTTGTTCATAGTATGTTTAGGTGTGTGCCATGCATGTGTTTCACTTTGAGAGCGGGCAACTACATTTCATTTTTGATGTGTGCCGTTGTGCCCACAGTAAAAGAATGACAATAAAGGTTATCTTATCTTATCATCTTATCTTATCTTGTCTTGTCTTGCCTTGCCTTATCATCTTATCTTATCTTATCATCTTATCTTATCTTTTATCTTATCTTATCCTAGCTAAAACATATAAGGAACGGCTGCTGGAATTGGGTATGTCTAGTCTAATGAAGAGAAGGACGAGGGGGGACCTGATAGCAGTCTTCCAGTATCTCAGGGGCTGCCCCAAAGAAGAGGGAGTCAAGCTATTCCCCAAAGCGTCTGAAGGCAGGACAAGAAGCAACAGATGGAAACTCATCCAGGAGAGAAGCAACCTAGAACTAAGGAGAAATTTCCTGACAGTGAGAACAATTAACCAGTGGAACAACCTGCCTCCAGAAGCGGTGAATGCTCCAACACTGGAAGTTTTTAAGAAGAGACAGGACAGCCATTTGTCTGAAATGGTGTAGGGTTCCTGCCTGAGCAGGGGGTTGGACTAGATGACCTCCAAGGTCCCTTCCAACTTTATTATTATTATTATTATTATTATTATTATTATTATTATTATTATTATTATTATTATTATTATTATTATTATTATTATCATCATCTTGTCTTTTATGTTATCTTGTCTTGTCTTTTATCTTATCTTTTATCTTATCTTATCTTATCTTATCTTATACTCTGAGAAAAGCTTTTTCACTTACCAGCATGCCCAACTGGACGGCTAACATGGCCACCCTGGCTTCCTGCTCCGGTTCTTGTTCAGCCTCCCGCAACGCCTTGGCTCCTTGCGCATGGCTCATGTTCCCCAGGCAGACTTTGGCAACGTCCAGCCTTTGGGTCTTCACACACATGCGGGCCATGTTCTCCCAGACGGCTTCACTGCAGGATACAAGAAGAAGGGACGTGGTCCCAGTCAGATTATGAAGACCTTCAGGAACACGGAGGTGTGAACTGGACCTTCTGCAGGAGAGAAAACCTCTTCAGGGACCATCGCTTAAGAGCGATGTGCAAACCAAGCATCTGGTCTTTAGCTCTTCGTGCACGGGGGGGCCATGTTCTCCCAGACAGAGAATGCAAGGAGGAGGCACGTGATCCAAGCCAAGCGATGGAAGACCGTCAAGAATATGGATGTGTGAACAGGAGACAAGACCTCTAGAAACCCTCTATAGCTCAGAGCAGGGGTCTCCAAAGTTGGCAACTTTGAAGACTTGCGGACTGCAACTCTCAGAATTCCCCAGCCAGCCTGACTGGCTGAGGAATTCTGGGAGTTGAAGTCCACCAGTCTTGACGTTGCCCAGTTTGAAGACCCCTGGCTCAGAGCGATGTCCCAGCCGAGACATAGGATCAGAGACATAATACTAACTCAATGGGTCCTAGCTTGTTACACTGGCTTCAGTTGAGTCTGTTCTACGTAGGACCAAGGCTCAATCCAACTCCTGGACTTTTTGGGACCTTCAACAGACTGCTCTTTTCACTGCTCAGGCTCATCAAAGGCTGATTGTGTTCACGCCGATATTACGTTCAGCGCTTTGAGCGAGAGGAAAAAAAATGTAAAGCCATAAACCATCCATCCCTTCCCCCCTTGTATCAAACTCGGAGAATTTCCTGAGTTTATCTTTGGAACTCTACCTCACATCTGTCCTTCATCAACTCCAGCTTGCTGTTCTAATGAATACCATATGCAGTGGAGGAAGGGCGCACATCACCCTCTTTTGTTCTGAATTTAAGAAGAACACGCGGATGTTCTTGTGGTATGAATTCGGCATCTTGAACCGCAAAACTGCTCCGTAGAATGCCGTACGGAAGCACCCCGTGCATAAGGAGAGCTCCCCCAGTTTGAAACCCACTAAACCGGTGTTTCTCAAGCTTGGCAGCTTGAAGATGGGTTAGACATCAACTCCCACAATTCCCCAGCCAGCAAGCTGGCTGGGGAATTCTGGGAGTTGATGTCCACCCATCTTCAAGCTGGCAAACTTGAGAAACACGACACTAAACTGCTGAGGTTCCACTTTCCAGAATTCCCGGTCAAAGGCCTCATCTCACTATCTTCACTACGCTGGTTGGGAATCTTGAGAGGTTTTAACACATCTGGAAAGAAGATCACCTGGCCCCTCCCCCTCCCGGGGACCCTGCGACCGTCATAAATATGAGTCAGTTGCCAAGCAAACGAACGGTTGTAAATGGAGGGCTGCCTGTACTGATGGACTTTTGCAGCGGGACCCGCAAGGCAACTCATGTTCAGGGCTCAGGTTTCAACCTTAAAAAAAAAAAGGATTTGCTTAACGTGCAACTCAAGTTTTCTGTAAAGTGAAGCAGGACAAACAACGTCGTCCCAAGCCCACCTGTTTCCCTCCAGGGGAAGACAGGAACAAGAGAAGGAAAAGACTCATCCTGTCGGATCGCTAGCAGGACGGAAGACATACCGAAGACCTCTTCGGTGGACTTCAAGGTTTTCTGAGTTCTAAAAAAAAAAAAAATTCTGGAGGCCTAAGCAGTATTCCCCCTCCGTTCCCAGAAATCGATAAAAGAAGAAGAGCGTCAGGATCACAAAACCTTCGTTGTCAAGTCCTGAATAGCAGCTAGAAATTGGTGTCCAGGGGAGCCCTCGCAAGACTCCTGCTTCTGCCAATCGTTCAGCCTTCTCCTAGGAAATGTATTCATTTATATCCCATCTTTATTATGTTTATAAATAACTCAAGGCTGCGAACATACCGAATATCCTTTCCTGCTCCTATTTTTCCCACAACAGTAACCCTGTGAGGTGGGTTGAGCTGAGAGACAGTGATAAAGTCACCTATCTGGCTTTCGTGGCTAAGGTGGAACTAGAACTCACAGTCTCCTGGTGATTGGCCCAAAGTCACCCAGCTGGCTTTCATGGCTAAGGCAGGACTAGAACTCACCATCTCCTAGAAATGCTAAATTTTTCTCGGACGTATAATCCTATTGGATCCTTCCATCTCATCCAACAAACAAATTTCTGCACTGTTGTCCAGAATACCCCAATTCTGATTATTTTTGTTGTGGTAAGCAAAAGAAGAAAGAAAGAAAAAGCAAAATATTCTTCACACACTGTTCTTAGCACTGAACTGAGAATGAGGCCGGGAAGAGACCCAGGTATTTTGTGTGCTTCAACCCTCCCAGTTTTCCAAGTTAGATTTGATGGGTTGCGACACCCTTGAATCCCAAACCTAAGGGATTAACAACACAGCAGGATCTATTTTTGGAGGATCTCTCTATTTTTTGATGATGTTACTTAGTGTGGGTAATGAAACGTCTGCAAGAAAACCCGCAAGCTCAGAGAGCACCAAGGACCCCACAGTTCTCCTCCACCTCCTTCTCCTTCTCTCCTTCCTCCTCTTTGCAAACCCTACTACTCCCTTCTAGCACTGATGATGTTACCAAGTTGGGTGATGAAACGTCTGCAAGAAAACCACCCAGCTCAGAGAGCACCAAGGACCCCGCAGTTTTCTTCTTCCTCCTCCTCCTCCTCCTCCTCCTCCTCCTCCTCCTCTCTGCAAACCCCATTCCCTTCTAGCACTGATCACGTTACCTACTTTGGTAATGAAACATCTGCAAGAAAAAACAACCAAGAACACACACACACACACACTGGATCTATTTCCTTCCACGAGATCCTTGAGAAGTTGTTGTTGTTGTTTGACCACCACACAATATTATCCTAACCATTCTTCCTAGCAGAGTTTTGCGGAATGAACTCTTCTCTCTGGGAAGCCGAAGAGGAGGGGAAGAGGAGGACAGCCATGGAATGAGGCGGGAGGGAGGGAGGGTGGCTGGGAGTGGGGAAGGGAAAGAGACGGGACTTTAGAAGTCTGTCTTTGACTTTTCCTTTCAGGAAACACATCCTGTTCACATCGGAGAGGGCCGTGGCAGTGGCCCTGTCGCTTGCAATCGGCTACGCCCTGGGCTTTCACCAAAAGCAGCCGCGCAAACAACCGTTTCCTTTTCATGGACAGATAGGAGAGGAGAGGGGGGGGGGAGAGAGAGAGAGAGAGAGAGAGAGAAAACTTCCTTGCAGCAAGGATTCTGCTTTCCTGCTCCGGCAGTGTGCGGGCTCCGTCATCGGGGAGGGAAGAGCAAGCAGCGCTGGAGAAGAGTCCTTGGGAATACGCACTCTTCCTTGGGGATGCAAGCCTTTCATCTCTCTCTCTTGGGGATTGGCCTTGGCACAAAGCGTTGAAGCCGAGGACCCTCCTGGCGTCCTTCTGAGAAATTCGGGTGACGGCAAAAGCGTTTCTGGGGTCTTGACACCTCTCGCCGCAGGGCCCAGCCCCTTCCCACATCTGCGGGCCAGAAGGCTGAAGGGACGGACAGCCTTCAAGAGGCACTGTGGGCCTCAGCTGTCCGAGAACACCACTCCATCCCCGTAGCCACTGCCTACGTCGTCGTGGTGGGACCCTTTGCAAATTGGGTGTCGGAAAGAATGCGCCTGCTCAACTTCCAACTCTACACCAGCTTGGTCCTGCTCAAAGGAGAAGAAGGTGGATAAAGCAAGCCCTGAGGAGGGAAGGAGCAATCTGGAAGACCTCGCTCTTGCCCTTCTTTTGCGCATGGATTTCTCCTCTCTGCCTCGTGGGTCTTTGTGCGGCCAGGAACTTCCCAGCAGCTGACTTTGAGAATGAATGGCGATGTACTCTAGCCATTCCTAACGCGCTCCTGCACCTGCCTCCCACCGACCAGACCCAATTCAATGCCCTGCAGCTGATTTGGGGACGCTTGGATCTTCTCCCCGAGAGTGGCCGCCGGCGCTGGGTGACCGTCAGATATGACGGTCCAGAAACTGATCGCCACAGCCGTGTTGGTCGCGCTGGTGTCCCTGATTCTCAACAACGCGGCTGCCTTCACTCCCAACTGGGTGTACCAGACCTTGGAGGATGGGCGTAAGCGCAGCGTGGGGCTGTGGAAGATGTGCTGGCTGGCAGAGAAGGGCAAAGGAGGTGTGGGCGCAGGTGCCAAGCACGGGCAAGGGGTGGAGCATGAATGCGAAGCCCTGGGCTGGGGTTCAGAGCCCGCTGGCTTCCAGGAGTCCCGAAATACTGTCAAACGTAAGTCTCGTTTCTCATTTGTCATTCTCCACTCGGTCTTAAAAATGGCCCGTGAGGCACGGCCCGTAGGTGCTTTTCCCAAAGGCGACTGGATTTTCTTGAGTGGGTTTTTTTTTTCCTTCCTGAAAACATTTTGCTTCTGAAGAACTGAAGAAGCAGCTTGTCGGATAAGAAGTAAAACATTTTCAAGGCAAAAAAAACCCCAACAACAACCCAAGAAAGACCAGTTGCTTTTGGGAAAAGCACCTTTGGGACAATCATGACCGAGCATCTTCAAAGACGTTGGGTCTGTCGCGCAGCAAACTTGGCTCAAAACTTTGCCCCTGGAAAACTAGAAGGCGGACTGTGAAATATTTGCTCCGTCGGGGCTCGATCTGGAAAGGGGTGAGGGCCAGAGGTTTTTCTCTCTCTCTTCAGAAGAAGCTTCAACGAAGCAAGAAAGATACTCGGGGAGCAAATGAAGAGAAATTGGGTCCAGAAAAATAACACAGTTGGGCTACAAGAGATGGAGAAAGACACAGAAAATACAGGAGGCAGAGTAAATGCGGTATTCAAAGCTAGATAAGATGAACCGGCTTTGCAAGCATCTATTTTGACTTAAAGCCATCAGCAAAAGCTTTAACAGAGGATTTGCTGTAGTAGCTGATTCCTGCACTGATCCAAGGATTGGATTAGACACTGTTTCTCAACCTTGTCAACTTTAAGATACCTGGACTTTGGCTCCCAGAATTCCCCAAGCATGCTGGCTTGGGAATTCTGGGAGCTGAAGTCCACGCCCCTTAAAGTTGACGAGGTTGAGAAGCACTGGACTAAAGGATCCTTAATCCTTCATTGCGGTGAGGTTGGCTGTTTGCTTTTAGGCTCGCAATCCAAATATGGACACTGTTAAGACGGGTACCGTGGGAATAAGATGGGATCTCTGTGAGATCTTCCCAGTTCACACCCCCAGTCCAAACTCTTGGTTAAAAAACAAACCAAACGTGATGGAAGATTTCTCCTGGCAAAATCTTCCCGGTGGGAGAGGATAAAAGGGGTCATTTTTGCAGGGGGGAAAAAAAATGACAGAGAACAACCAGTTATAAAACTCTTCCCTCCTGACACCCTTCCTTTTGTAAATCTGCTGCAGGCTACAGCTTTCTCGACTGTACCTTAATTATTTTTTTTTTTTTAAAAAAGGAAAAACTAGAGAACAACTACACTCAGCTCCGTGACACGGGAAGTTTGACCTTTTGTTGTGCTATTTCCAGTTCACTAGGTGGCAATACTTGGCAAGCGTGGGAAGGGGTGAGGAAAATGTCTCGGGAAGCCTATTCAAAGAGGAATATAGGCAGTTTCTTTCCAGCAAGTCAAATTCTTTGCTCCATTTCAGCCAGTAATGCCTGCTCCTCGCTGACTAGGCTTCCCCCAAATTTTAGGACATCCTTTCACAGCTTGACTCCCTCTTCCTTGTGTCCCCCCTCGTCCTAGTAATAATAATAATAATAATATAAAGTTGGAAGGGACCTTGGAGATCATCTAGTCCAACCCCCTGCTCAGGCAGGAACCCTACACCATTTCGGACAAATGGCTGTCCAGTCTCTTCTTAAAAACTTCCAGTGTTGGAACATTCACCACTTCTGGAGGCAGGTTGTTCCACTGGTTAATTGTTCTCACTGTCAGGAAGTTTCTCCTTAGTTCCAGGTTGCTTCTCTCCTTGGTTAGTTTCCATCCGTTGCTTCTTGTCCTGCCTTCAGGCGCCTTGGAGAATAGCTTGACTCCCTCTTCTTTGGGGCAGCCCCTGAGATACTGGAAGGCTGCTATCATGTCCCCCCTCGTCCTTCTCTTCGTTAAACTAGACATACCCAATTCCAGCAGCCATTCCTTGTATGTTTTAGCCTCCAGTCCCCTGATCATCTTTGTTGCTCTTCTCTGCACTCTTTCTAGAGTCTCAACCTCTTTTTTACATCGTGGTGACCCAAACTGGATGCAGTATTCCAAGTGTGGCCTTACCAAGGCATTGTAAAGTGGTATTAATACTTCACGTGATCTTGATTCTATCCCTCTGTTAATGCAGCCCAGCACTGTGTTGGCCTTTTTGGCAGCTGCAGCACACGGCTGGCTCATTGTAAAGTGGTATTAATACTTCACGTGATCTTGATTCTATCCCTCTTGATTCTATCCCCTCCTTGTCATCTGCTACCTGGGAACTACCTGGGAATTTCCCACCCCACCTCATCCCACCTGTTTCCCAAACAGACCTTACTAAATCTAGGAAGTGGATCCCTCCAAGCTTCCTTCCAGAATATCACAGTCAAATATGTTTCAGAGATAGAATTCTCTGCTATGTGGTTTTGCTTTTTTTTTTTAGACAGCTCTGATTCCATTCTTGACCACACAGCTCTTTAATCCGAATACAATCGGTGCTCACCGGGGTCAGAATTCATCCCAGAATATAAAATAATCATGCAAATGTGAAGAAAATGAATTATGTGATATTGTTTGATATTTGAGGAGGGGAATGATTTGAGTCTCCCAAAGTAGCAGTGGAAAAAAAAACGAGGCCACCTCTGTGCCTAGAGATTGTGGCTACTTCTCCAGAGCAAGCAAATCCAGAAAAGAGAAGAAAAGTATGTTTACGGAATTGTGTAGACATTTGCCAATGCATATTCCGAAAACTTGTCTATCGATAGAGTTCACATACTCTCTCTCTCTCGAGAAAAAGCAGGATGCGGTGATCAGAAGAAGCACCACAAATCTTCATGGGTTGCTTTTTTTTTTTTTGTAGGATATCAATTTCTCAATCCCTGGAAATCTGGCCCTCAGACCCATTTTTGCTTTTAATTAGGCGTTTCCTAAATACATTAAGCCACGAGACACTAACATTCAGCAAAGACCGAGATCCTTTCTAAAATGCAAAAAGACTGTGCCAAAAAATTAACCGCAGGGGGACTAAAAAAAAAAAAAGTATAGTCTTGTGAGTTCTCACATTCCACTTCAAAGCTGCTAATCTTGACCTTACCAAAGCGTTTGTTGACTGACCCAGGGAAGTATGAAAGGACGAAGTAGCGCAGAAGAAAGGAAATGTTCTGGAAATCCATTGGTTGCAAAACAGCAGGAGACCTGCTTTTAGAGCTAGCCCGGATGAAGCTGAGGGCATCTAGATGTCTTGGCAACTGACATGTATTTATGACAGTTGCAGTGCCCTGGGGTCATGTGACGGGTCCCCTTTTTGCAACCTTCTGGCAAGCGAAGTCAACGGGGAAGCCAGATTCATGGATAACTGTGGCAAGAAAAGTCTTAAAACGAGGCAAAATGCACCCAAGAACTGTCTTGCTTAGCAACAGAAATACGAGAGAGAAAGAGAGACAGAGAGAGAGAAGAGAGAGAGAAGAGAGAAAAAGAGGAGAGAGAGAAAAAGAGAGAGGAGAGAGAAAGAAAGAGAGGAGAGAAAGAGAAGAGAGAGAAAGAGAGAGAAGAGAGAGAGAGAAAGGAGAGAGAGAGGAGAGAGAGAGGAGAGAGAGAGAGAAAGAGAGAGAAGAGAAAGAGAGGAGAGAGAGAAAGGAGAGAAAGAGAAGAGAGAGAAGAGAGAAAAAGAGGAGAGAGAAAGAGAGAGAAGAGAAAGAGAGAAGAGAGAGAAGAGAGAAAAAGAGGAGAGAGAGAAAGAGAGAGGAGAGAAAGAGAGAGGAGAGAGAAAGAGAGAGAGGAGAGAAAGAGAAGAGAGAGAGAGGAGAGAAAGAGAGAGGAGAGAGAGAAAGAGAGGAGAGAGAGAAAGAAGAGAGAGAAAGAGAGAGAGAGAAGAGAGAGAAGAGAGAAAAAGAGGAGAGAGAAAAACAGAGAGGAGAAAGAGAGAGGAGAGAGAAAGAGAGAGAGAGAACAGAGAAAAAGAGGAGAGAGAGAGAAAGAGAGAGGAGAGAGAGAGGAGAGAGAAAGAGAGAAAGAGAGAGGAGAGAAAGAGAGAGAGAAATCACTATTTTTGTAGTTTTTGGTTAGTTCTCATGGCTGGGAAAATTCTTCTATCCTGATTATGGCCCCATTAGAAAGACTGGCGCACGGCCAGCCTCTCAATTCAAGAATCCAACCATTCTACTCAAGAACTGCCAATACTGTTGGAGGAGAAACATGTGTGCCTTTACTGAATGATTTTTTTTTATAAACAGAAGGATTAGCTACTACCCAGAGAAAGCTGTTTTCTATCACAGCAATTAAAGAGAACGTGAAGATGCTTAGAGTGGAGAATAGTTGGCTTTTGGTCTGCGGTTGATCGTGGAAAAAGAAGAGGGAAAATGGACGCCGCTGGAACATTTTAAGTGTCAATTTCATCCATTATTCTGCATCCCATAATGTCCTACCAGGGTCCACAGAAATCAGGGGGAACTGACGGCTTTTTCTCCATGACTGCTTTGCAAGAACCAGTCTTTGGTGGGCTTATCACTGCTTCTAGACAGGAAAGCTCTAACTTCACAAAATCGGCTCTTCTCCTGCTGAAGCCTTCTGAGCTAGAAGACACATCGTATTTTGAGATAAGTGAATTTCAAACAGGATGTGCACGGAGGTTTCATCCATCCATCTCGGATCTGCAGCCCGGGCGCTGGAATTGGAACGTCTCCAGAGCATTTAGTTACGCAATAGTGAGGGAAATGCCTCTTTTTCCTCCCAAGTTTGGCCAGTTATTTCATAAACTTTGACGAGATCTTGCTCATTTTTCTAAGATGGGGGCTGTGTGTCTCCAAACCTGGCAACTTTAAGACTTGTTGACTTCAACTCCCAGAATTCCTTGGCCAGCCATGCCAAGTTGAAATCCACAAGTCTTAAATGTGGCCAAGTTTGGAGAGCCCTGTTCTAAGAGAGAGAACTTTCATACGCCTCATCTTTTCCTTATTGTTGACGGTTTCTACAAGTTAATAAAATTTCATTTTTTGGTGCCACGATCGTTCTGGAGCAGTGTGACTACGGCAACTAAGCCAGGCTTACTGCTTCTCAAAACCAAAGCTGTCTGTTGCATGGAGAATCTCATGCAGAAG